TTTTTTTTGCAGTACCAGGGATTGAATTCAGGACCCTGCACTTGCCAGGCAAGCACTTATTCTACTGAGCTATGTCCCTGGCCATCTTTATATTGTCTTAAATGGCTCCATTCTACAAACCAGAATTGTTACTTACACTAGCAGCTAAAAGATGAAAAAAATGGTTTTAAATGACAGCAAACCAAATCTTATAGGAGAAGATCTTTGGCACAGTGCTATAGAAGAATAATTGTATAACATTTAGATTATGAGAGTTTTAACATATTGTTCAAATCAGAGAAAGTATTGGAGACTATAATAAGATATATGTGTTTTTGTAACTATTAGTGATCCCAAAACCCTACTTCTAATTCAGTAGCATTCTTAAATGAACTTGAATTTTCCTAATCATAAAATCTTCACATTTAGAAAATTGTAATATAGAAGGTTTCATTCAGTATAGAATCCAGCTAGTATTCCTTAATATAGTGTCACAAATACAAACTCACAGAGCTAAGACTACTAAAAGTTACAGACATAAGTGAATTACAATAATGTTGGATATGACTTAAAGAAACAAAATAAAAAAAGACTACCCAGGTCGATAGTATATCCTAGCTTCATGATAAATTATCACTTGGTAAAAGATAGGAAAATACATTGTTCCTTCGTCATCTCTGTTAGTAGATATGGATCCCTTAGAGCAAAAAGGTCCCAACCAACAGAGACAGGCATACCTCACACATTCTCCTGGAGGAAGACAGGACACTGATCAATTCCTTTCCCCCAGTTTCTTTCCCACCAGCTCTTCCAAACACAGTAAGGAGTAAAATTATCTCACACAATACCAATAGTAATAGCAGCCATAAATAATTACTAGGAAGGCAGAATAGGAATTCTAGTGCTCTGAATTGTTCTTTGGGAGGCACATATTAGCTTAATGACCAAAGACTCAGACCTTGGGAGTGGGAGGAAAATCTTGCACAATAGGGCAGAAATGCACTTTAGATAAAGCTGCAAGGATAAGTAATTAGACTGACTATGGCACAGTCACCTGTATGCCAGCCATGAGTCTGCAAGCATGGAAAGAGAGGAGACCTCAAGACAACACCTCCCTTCTCTGTTACTGGTATTTGGAGACATTGACTCCAATGGATTCACTTCATAAAAGATGAAAAACATGGGAACAAACAAATATCAGAACAAGAAGGAAAGAACAGCCTTACACGAAGTGCATTCTTATGAAAATGAGCTAATGCAAAATGCAAGAGAAAAGGCCATGATCTTTGGCATGCACATATGATTTCCTTCAGCAACTTTATTGAATTCTTGCTATAATACAGAAATGACAAATACAAAGAAATATTCTGCCTTAATTATGCTAATGCAGAGATGGAAAATAGGTAAACACAATATAAGGGTAGTTTTAAGGGCTATAAAGAAAATAAGGCAGAAAAGGAGAAAGGAAAGATGGTGGCAGGGAATGGACAAGAAATGAAGCTATTTTAGGTAAGAATGTAAGGAAGGAATTCTCCCAAAGGAGATGACATTTGAGCATAGACCTTCTCAGAAAGTGGGACACAGAGAACTGGGGAAGAACATTCTAGGCAGCATAGAAACACATGTAGAAGCTCTTGGTGAGGACCAGTGAGCACATTGAAGGGTAGGAGAGGCCTGGCATGCCCCAAGCAGACACTGATGAAGAGATGCAGGTTGGAGGCTTCAGGAGTGAGCAGAAACTTGTTCACTGTGGCAAACTAGGTCTTTCTTTTAACTGTGATAAATAGGAGGAAAACATAGGATACAATTTATGTCTAAAAGTCATTGCTTTGGGCTGGAGAGATGGCTCAGTGGTCTAAGGCACCTACTTAGAACAAGCTTGGCAAAGCATCAGGGACCGCGGTTCAATCCCCCAGCACCACATGCCAGGCAGCCCCGCCCCCTGGTGGGCTGAACTGGCCACACACACACCTCTCTCTCTCTCTCTCTCTCTCTCTCTCTCTCTCTCTCTCTCTCTCTCTCTCTAATAAAAAAAAAAAAATGAAAAACTTAATTAAAAAAATGTCATTGCTAGCAGGGCAAG